CAGCAGAGCATCCTCAGCCACCAGCCGGCCACTCATTTGCATACAAATTGAGATAGAAAGTGCCATTGTGTTTTAAAGAAAGCTGCTTCTTAAGCTCTGAGAACGCCAGGGCAGCTCTGACTCTTTCTCTCTCTCGCTCTGTCTCTCTCTCTCTCTCTCTCTCTCTGTGTTGCTCTCTCTCTCTCTCTGTGTGTATGTATGTGTGTGTGTGACAGTGTGTGTGTGAGAGGCTGATAATCCACCCTCTGATGGTCTGAGTAATAACTTTAGTCTATGAAGTAGGCATTCTTCCTCTCTAAGCCAGTGACTATGCCACCAACCGATTGTGCTCTAAATTGGTATTTGTAGGTGTGTGTGTTTTTTTGGTTTTACTATCCTTGTGGAGACTAGAAGTCCTCATAAGGATAGTAAAACGAGGGGACAAAGGCTATTTTAGTCTTAGGGGTTAGGTTTAGGGTTATGGTTACAATTAGGGTTAGGGTTACAATTAGGGTTATGGTTACAATTAGGGTTAGGTTTAGGGTTAAGGGTTAGGGTTAGGGGTTTGGGGTTAAGGTTAGGGGTAGGGTTAATGTTAAGGGTTAGGGAAAATAGGATTGTGAATGGGAATCAATTGTTTGGTCCCCACAAGGATAGTAAAACAAACATATAAGTGATAGAGGACATCCTTTACCTTGCTCCTCTTCTACCCTGCTGGCTGCCCTGCTGGCTGCCCAGGAACATCTCTAAACTGGTGCTGGCAGCTGCTGGCAGCCTGATGGGCCATGCCTCCCATGCCCTCTGTCTCCTACAGATAGTTGCTCTGTCAGAGCTGTCAGTTTCAATCCATACCCAGCTAGCACATAATGTTCTGGGAACAATATGTTTCTTAAAGCTTGGTGAGAGTGTGGATGTCTTATGGTTATTTAGCATACAACCTTCCCACAACTTTCTGGGAATGGTACAGGATATTTGCTTGGCTATGGAACATTCTCAGCACTTTTAAGTAACTTGAGAAAAAAATGTTATTTTCTTTGTATTTCATTACTTTAACAGAACGTTTTCTAAAAGTTCAAACATGGTTACATTTAATTTTAATTTCAGTAATGTTCTAGGAACGTTCTCCAACTGGTTTGACATTGGGAATGTTCTGAAGTAGTTCAGAGAACGTTGAGAAACAACATTCTTCTGTTGGAATTCCAGTACTTCAGCATAACGTTTCCTACAGGTTTCAAGTAATGTTCTCAAATTGTTCAGAGAACGTTAAGATACATTTCCATAAAAACCACAAGAAAACTTTAGTAACGTTCAGAGAACGTTCTAAGAATGTTATTTAAAAACATATACATTCCGTTCTCAGCATCAACAAAACTCTGTGTTCAGGTGTGTTGGACGAGCGCACTTATTGGCCACACCTGATCTTAATGAGTGCTTGTTTCCTTTTAAATGGGGTCTGTTTGAATAGACTAAAAGAAACAACTTTGTATGCGTAACAAATCATGGCATGCTAGCTCCATCCTGTGTAAACTGGAACAACAAGTCCCCCTCCATACTCGCCATCTTTTTGACTGTGTATATCTCTCTTTCACTCTCCTCCATCACTCTCTCTCTCGCTCTCCTCTTTTCTCTCTCTTATCCCTCTCTCTTATTCACCCTCTCATCCCAATCTCTCTCGTTTCCCGTCTTTCTCACCCATCCCTCTCTCTCATACACCTTTTCTCTCTCCTCCACCCCTCTCTTTCTCTAGCCTAATGACATGGACCCATTCCAGGAGCTGCTGGAGCAGCGAGGTTACTCTGAAGATGTCACCATGCACAGCCCCAAGCCCAAGTACGCCCAGTGCAAAGAGAGCAAGAAGGACCTGATAACGTAAGACTGACCTGTACGGGATGTGTGTGTGCCACCCCTCCATTCTGCTCCACCCCCCATCTGCTTTTCTCCTCTGCTCCTTCCTTTTTGCTTTTCCTTCTTTCCTGTCTCTGTTCGGTTCCTTTGCTTCAGAGGAACCACCCCACCCACCTCTCCTCCTTGGCACTAATGGCATGCTACATTTTGCAGCGCACTGTTTAGCCAGCTTTTCATTTGATCCACAGCTCTTCAGCCAGTGTATTGCTGGCTTCTTATGCTTCTCTTATGTTGATGCTTTATCGTAATAAAATATGATTACCTCATCATGTTGCAGCTGCGCCTTAGAACAGGTCCAAAACAAACCAAACCATTTTTGCAGACAGTGAAGCTAAACTGGAAACAATGAAAAAGCTATTTATTTTATTTTATTTTCCTCTTGTTTTGGTTTCATTTCATTTTCATTGGTCTATTTCTCTGGTGACAGATGCCCAACATCTGGGTGTGAGGGGAGTGGTCATGTGACTGGCAATTACACTTCACAAAGCTGTGACTGGTGGAATAAGTCTCTTGGATTTATTGTTTTCAGCTTACCTTGACTACAGTGAGGGAATAAAGTATTTGATCCCCTGCTGATTTTGTACGTTTGCCCACTGACAAAGAAATTATCAGTCTATAATTTGAATGGTAGGTTTACTTGAACAGTGAGAGACAGAATAACAAACAAAAAATCCAGAAAACGCATGTCAAAAATGTTATAAATTGATTTGCATTTTATGAGGGAAATAAGTATTTGACCCCCTCTCAATCAGAAAGATTTCTGGCTCCCAGGTGTCTTTTATACAGGTAACGAGCTGAGATTAGGAGCACACTCTTAAAGGGAGTGCTCCTAATCTCAGCTTGTTACCTGTATAAAAGACACCTGTCCACAGAAGCAATCAATCAATCAGATTCCAAACTCTCCACCATGGCCAAGACCAAAGAGCTCTCCAAGGATGTCAGGGACAAGATTGTAGACCTACATAAGGCTGGAATGGGCTACAAGACCATCGCCAAGCAGCTTGGTGAGAAGGTGACAACAGTTGGTGCGATTATTCGCAAATGGAAGAAACACAAAATAACTGTCAATCTCCCTCGGCCTGGGGCTCCATGCAAGATCTCACCTCGTGGAGTTGCAATGATCATGAGAACGGTGAGGAATCAGCCCAGAACTACACGGGAGGATCTTGTCAATTATCTCAAGGCAGCTGGGACCATAGTCACCAAGAAAACAATTGGTAACACACTACGCCGTGAAGGACTGAAATCCTGCAGCGCAGGAAAGCACATATACATGCCCGTCTGAAGTTTGCCAATGAACATCTGAATGATTCAGAGGAGAACTGGGTGAAAGTGTTGTTGTCAGATGAGACCAAAATGGAGCTCTTTGGCATCAACTCAACACGCTGTGTTTGGAGGAGGAGGAATGCTGCCTATGACCCCAAGAACACCATCCCCACAGTCAAACATGGAGGTGGAAACATTATGCTTTGGGGGTGTTTTTCTGCTAAGGGGACAGGACAACTTCACCGCATCAAAGGGAAAATGGACGGGGCCATGTACCGTCAAATCTTGGGTGAGAACCTCCTTCCCTCAGTCAGGGCATTGAAAATGGGTTGTGGATGGGTATTCCAGCATGACAATGACCCAAAACACACGGCCAAGGCAACAAAGGAGTGGCTCAAGAAGAAGCACATTAAGGTCCTGGAGTGGCCTAGCCAGTCTCCAGACCTTAATCCCATAGAAAATCTGTGGAAGGAGCTGAAGGTTCGAGTTGCCAAACGTCAGCCTCGAAACCTTAATGACTTGGAGAAGATCTGCAAAGAGGAGTGGGACAAAATCCCTCCTGAGATGTGTGCAAACCTGGTGGCCAACTACAAGAAACGTCTGACCTCTGTGATTGCCAACAAGGGTTTTGCCACCAAGTACTAAGTCATGTTTTGCAGAGGGGTCAAATACTTATTTCCCTCATTTAAAATGCAAATCAATTTATAACATTTTTGACATGCGTTTTTCTGGATTTTTTTGTTGTTATTCTGTCTCTCACTGTTCAAATAAACCTACCATTAAAATTATAGACTGATCATTTCTTTGTCAGTGGGCAAACGTACAAAATCAGCAGGGGATCAAATACTTTTTTCCCTCACTGTATGCTGTCGGACTACTGCAGCCAGAATGCACATCTCTGTGTTAACCCTTTGAGTATGATTACAGTTAACCCGTTGAGTCAACGTACAGTGTCTAAGTGATGTGAATCATCATGACACACATAGGCCTACCAGATACCCAATTGTGTCAAGGAATGTAGTCAATGAAATTACAGAGCATGTCAACAAAACATTTATGTTCTACACAGGCTATTTCTGAATGCAGTTATTTAGAGAGGTTAACACTTTTATTTACTGACCCATAGTCCCCCCTGCACTTGCATCATGGATTTCTTGCAATTCCATTCTTGTCAACGTGTGTGTTTGTGTGTAAGTGTGTGTGTGTACAGTGTGTACTGTGCGTGTTTGTCTGTGTCCTCATGTTTCAGTGGTGTGTCCTCTCTCTTCTTTTCCTCACTAACGTTGTCATGGATATCTTCCAGACTCTCTGGCTGTCCTTTAGCTGACAAAAGCATTCGAAGTATGATGGCCACCAACTCACAAGAGCTCAAGTAAGGCGTTAGATGTTTCATTCTTATTTTTGTTTCTTCTTTTGTTGATATCTTGTGAAAAAAGTATAATTCCCGATTCCTGAATTCTCAACTTGGTTTTAGTTCCTCAGACAAAACAAATACACTCTACTGACTGTTATTATTATTTATATTTTATTTATGGGGTAGATCAGCTTTAATATTGCAGATAGATTGTGGCTTCTATCAATTTTAATTATCTGCATTATTTCCAATCCCCCATATATATTTTTTGTAAATATATATGTATATATATATATATAGTATATATATTATTTTTTTTACATACATTTTCCTTTATTATTTTCCCTTAACCTTACCACCCCTCCCCTAATTGGAGTACACTCTACTGACTGTTACAGTGAAATACATTATAGATGTGATTAGTGTGATTTTGAGTGTGTCCTTCAAGCCCTGTTGATTGCTGTAGGCCCTGATTCGCTGTGTTTTCTGTCCCAGGTGCCCGACACCGGGGTGCGATGGTTCGGGGCATAACACTGGCAACTACGCATCACACAGAAGGTAAAATAAACACATACACACACTTCTCGTTATTCACACTGGCAGTAGACTGCACACACACCTCTCAGGCTGGGTCAGAGTAAGTTCTCTGTATTAATAATATTTGCAATTGATGTGGTTGTCTTTCCTCTGCAGTCTATCAGGGTGTCCGCGGGCCAGGAAGAGTGGGATCAAGATAACACACAGTAAAGAGGACAAGGAGGACCAGGAGCCCATCAGGTAGAGTTAGCCTGCCACACCCCTCTCAAAGACTCAGGGAACTACAGCTCTCACCCAATTTCTAGATGCCCTTAACCAACTCTCACTGTTCTTAATACAAAAGAATAGGGGTATTTTTAGATTGAAACTGAGACAGGCAACCCCCAGTCTGCCATGGTTCGAAAATGAGGATTGTCCTACATAGGGATCTTCTGTTGTGGCATCACAAAAAGATACAGAGACAGTTAGCTGGAGAGAGAGACAGATTGATCTGGATTCTCTCTAATGGGCTTTTCTGGCTGCACTCCCATCGATTTCTCAGTGGTGCTGAGAGAAAACCAACACTCTGGCCTGTCTGTCTGTCTGTCTGTCAATCTGTCTCACACGGTCAGCCAAGCCAAGAGAGGCAGGGTCGCTTTCCCACACATCTATCTATAAGCCATGATTGCATGGAACTCCCTTCCATCTCATATAGTGCAAGTGAACAGCAAACCTGGTTTCAAAAAAACAAATAAAGCAACACCTCACCGCACAATGCCTCTCCCTCATGTGACCTACTTGTTGGGTGTATGTACTGACATGTATTTTGTCTGTAATGTATTTTTCGTTATGTGTCTGACCCCAGTAAAACTAGCTGTCGCCACTGGCGTCGGCTAATGGGGATCCTAATAAAATCAACAACAAAAAACCAGCTCCAAATAAGCATTGGCTGGTGGAGAAAAGTTATAGGACTTAGAGTCAACCTTTTTTCTTTGTGAAAGCATTTGGAACTGTGTGTGGGGGTTTGGATCATTTTCCCCCCCAGGGAGGGGGAAAGAGATTGTGACTGTTTCTGGAAATATAATAATCCTGATTGATAGTTTAATAAAACCAAGGGGAGTTGTAACAATAATCCACTGGGGAAATATGATGTGATGAAACATTTGCAGATTCACTGCATCTTATTAGCCATAGTGCCGACTGCTGACTTAACATTGACTGACTGTAATCTGTGTCAGTGTGATAAACTGCCAAAGGGACAGATTAGACCGGATCAAACCAGATTTAAGGTGTTTTTATTTATATTTAAGTCGGAGTGATTACAGATACTGTATTGTCTCCCATTCTGCACACTGGTACTCAAAACACAAACAAAGCCATACTGCATTCAATTCTGTAATGATATTTCCTCAACTCAAGCACCCATGAAGCTATATGTGGTCCAATTTTACATTACGAAGACCTTATGTCATAGCAATAACTATGTAATTAATTACACAATTCTTCCTGACAATGCATCCTGAGCAGGAAAACTTCTGGGCCCTTGTCAGAAAAAACCTCCTGACCCTGGTTATTAGAATAACCAGAGCATCCCTATGCCATCCACAGGTGTCCAGTCCCGGGCTGTGGCGGTCAGGGTCATGTGACGGGGAAGTACGCGTCTCACCGCAGCGCGTCAGGCTGCCCCCTAGCGGCCAAGCGGCAGAAGGACGGTTACATGAACGGCTCCCAGTTCACATGGAAGGCTGGGAAGACAGACGGCATGTCCTGTCCCACCCCGGGCTGTGACGGCTCGGGTCACGTCAGTGGGAGCTTCCTCACACATCGGAGGTGGGTCTGGGTCCTGCATCAATACTTGATCATGCATCCTCCCTTTCTCCCTTCCTTGAAGTAATCACTGATCTGACGGGATCTGTGAAAGCTAGTGGAGCCAATGATTTCACCCATCCAGCCAGGTTGTGTGTGTGTGTTTAAATACAATATGAACTATTTGTGTCTAAAAATGTACTATATTCTCATCTGTTCCCCCAGTTTGTCAGGCTGTCCGCGTGCCACCTCTGCCATGAAGAAAGCCAGACTGTCTGGACTGTCTGAAATGCTAACAATAAAACAGCGCACCAGCAACGGTAATGACTGTCACCGCTCACTCACACAATGGATCCAATCAGGAGTGTGTATGCGTAATGAGCTACTGAGTGAAATCCCAATATGACATACAGAGCCAATCAGGAGTGTGTATGTGTAATGAGTCGAATCCCAATCTGAGATAAAGAGCCAATCAGGAGTGGGTATGCGTAATGAGTCGAATCCCAATCTGACATAAAGAGCCAATCAGGAGTGGATATGCGTAATGAGCCACTGAGTAGAATCCCAATCTGACATAAAGAACCAAACAGGAGTGTGTATGCGTAATGAGCTACTGAGTGGAACCCCAATCTGAAACAAAGGGGCCAGGATTGCCATACAGCCTCTGAGCTAGCAAACTAGCCAGTGACAATTAGTGTATAAGAGACCATCCCTCTCTCATTCACACACCACACTGACAGATCATTTGAAATATTTAGTTGGGCTTGGGGTGGGTGTGTAACGAGTGCTGAGGATATGAAGAGGCAGGACGCAGACATCAACAATATAAAGGTTTACTTAACACTGAGCAAGAGAACAACAAAGAGCGAGTACACGACAAGACACTAACAATCACACACAACACAACACTGAACAGTCCAGGGCTATATAGGGGTGGTGATGAGCTGATGAGGTGCAGGTGCGCTGGAGTTGATTAGGGTGCGTTGGGTTTCCATTCCGGTGTTGCCGAGGTGGTGCGCTCAGACCGGTGGCTCAGTAGACCGGCGAATCAGAGCGCCGGAGGGGAGCAACGGGAGGAGACGTGACAGGGTGGCAGGTGTCTAATAATTGTTCACTGTTTTATCTTTTTAAGGAATCGAAAATGAGGAAGAGATTAAACAGCTGGATGAAGAAATCAAAGATTTAAGTGAATCTAATTCACAAGTGGAAGCAGATATGATCAAACTTAGAACACAGGTAAGTCAGTAGTACTTCGCCATTTGTTTACTTGGAAGATTAGACTCATTTCATGCTTACCTTTCAGTTTCTACCCATTGTGGCACATCATTCTGCTATTTTCAGAGCTCATGGTAGTGTGTACCACAATGAAGTGTGTATTTCATTGTTGTACAGCATACACCTAAATGAATCTACCCTCCGCTAAAACGGTTACCAGAAAAGTCACTCCAGTTTGGAAAAAGCTGTCCAATTGTCATTCATGATCTACCATCAGTGAGAGAAATCCTAGCATATCTCACATCTGGGAGAATGCAGTGTAACAAAGTGGGGTATTCCTAATTATAAAGCACTATACCTCTGGGATCGCCTGCTTGCCAAACAGAGAGAGCATAGTCACTCACAGCCAATAAAGTGAAACCCCCTGTCCCCACTAACATCCTAAAGCTCCAGTAGAAAAGGAACAGGAGCAGCGGCTTTCACAGCTTGTATGAAAGGGTTCCTTCCTAAATAACTATTTGTGTCTGTGAGCTGCAGAAGCTACACATCAGTATCAAGGAAGTATCAAACATTCCAGAAAGAGAGGAACTTCACAATATGTTCACCTACAGTTTGCCTTTTTGAGATTGCATGCCAGTTTTGGAGTGGCGCAGTGGTCTAAGGCACTGCATCGCAGTGCTAGCTGTGCCACTAGAGATCCTGGTTCGAATCCAGGCTCTGTCGTAGCCGGCCGTGACCGGGAGACCCATGGGGCGGCGCACAATTGGCCCAGCGTCGTCCAGGGTAGGGGAGGGAATGGCAGGCAGGGATGTTGGTAGAGCATGGCGTTTGCAACGCCAGGGTTGTGGGTTCGATTCCCGCGGGGGGCCAGTATGAAATGAAAAAATAAATAAAAATAATAATATGTATGCACTCACTAACTGTAAGTCGCTCTGGATAAGAGCGTCTGCTAAATGACTAAAATGTAAATGTAAGTTTGATCTCATTTTGAAATACGGGCTGTTTTCCAACTTGTAGTACACTTTGGAACTGAAACTTACTGTTATGTGCACAATAGTGCATTGGCGGCACATAGCATATTTGTTTGAAAACACCCCACAGACTTTTAGTACATTTGAGTGAGTGTCAGTGTGTTGAATTGCATCTGTCCATGCTTCATTGCTCTTCACCTGTGTTGCTCTGTTACATCCATCGCTACGTGTGATTATGTCATAGAGATGGCTGCACGCCAGCCAATCAGCAGTGAGTTGTGGCATATCTGAGGTATGCTGCTGCCCGTGGTATGTGAACTGTGAACTGCACCCTGTGTGCTCCGCTGTAACAACCAGAGGTAAAAAAGCACTACCTTTACCATAACCCTCTTCTTCTCTCATCCCCCCTTCCCTAGATTACCACAATGGAGTCTAATATGAAGTCAATAGAGGAAGAAAACAAGGTGATTGAACATCAAAATGAATCTCTCCTGCATGAGCTGGCCAGCCTCAGCCAGACACTGATTAACAGTTTAGCTAATATCCAGCTCCCTCATATGGTAAGGGAACACCAAGAATGGCAATTGGGCAAGTTCCTATAAGCAAACATACTGTAGCATATGAGTTGATTCATTTACATACTCATCTATGTACAGTATTTATCTATTCATTTCTGTGAAGCCCATAAGGATCCAGTGTTTGTGCATGCTGAGTTGAGCAGGGGATTTCCAAGCCTAGATCAATGAAAAATAAGAGTATTCCTAATTTTTGCCAAACTGAAAAGGGGGAATTTTATATGAGGCTTGTGTTATGAATTAGGGGTCCATTTTACACAGAGACTCACAATGGTGACCAAAGAACAGTCTGCAGACACTGTTTTCTGATATTCAACATATAGACAGATTGGACAATCAGTTTCAAACAAAAGTGTTAACAGTGCTTGACTTGGGCAGGAGCTCACCAGAGCTGAGTACCGGCACCTAAAGATTTTGCTGCTTGAGTAAAGTACTGCCATCTACCTGTTATCAGTGCAATGAAAACTTAGTCTCCACCACTTTGACTCTCTGTCTGTAGCTATAGGCTACTACGTTTGTAAATTCAACAAACGTACTTGTTGATCTATCATGGATTTTCATAGTACAGCACATGCTATAATTGCAGGTCTGTATTTACTGTAGTGCTAAAAGTATTTAAGGCATGTCAAAAACAGCTTTTCTCCATAAGCATCCATTAGGTTTTTTCTTATAATCTTCATAAAATAAGGAAAAAAATATCACCAAAAACTATGAATGATGCCCGTGTCATTTACAAATTAAAATCTTGGCATTTTCTTATTCTTAAAACTGTATCTCCTTTTCTAAAAAAGTGTAACTTTTGTGTGTGAACACAATAAGATATAATTCCAGAGGCTATGATCATTCTGACTATGTTGTGAGCTGGATTCAGTTGCAGGCCCAATTCGCTACCACAGATGCATTCTTCTTTTACTGTATGTTTTGTTATGTTTTGCCTCTATTTCTTTCACATATCAATTGTGTTAGATGTTCTGTTGGTACTGTATCTCAAATGCTACCACCTAGTGATTGTTTGAGAGAGTAACAGTAGCTAGGTAGCAACTAACAGTAACTAACCTTTCCCCCCATAGAAACCGCTGGCACACAAAGAGGCTTCCATTAGAAATAACAGCTGCTTACAGATGCATCAGAGAGTAAGACGATCATTCATCATATTCTTACTCTAACACTGCTTTTCTTTATGTTAATCCTTCTCCTTGTTTCTTCATCAGGGCACTGTATGAAAGATTGGCCATGTGTTTTGCGCAATCAGGTTACATAGCAAGATTTTGTCCTGTATTTTAAGCCTTATCCAGAAATGAAAATTAGACCAAGACTGAAAGCAATGGTCAGAGGATGGTGCTGGACCAACTGACATAAAACGAAAAGGGGACAGTTTGATGAAAAAGCTTTAAATAAAGGTTCAAATTCAGGCATGTCACATGATTGTGCAAAACACAGGGCCCCAATGATAGTTTCATCAACACACAGGGCCCTAATGATAGTATCATCAAAACACAGGGCCCTAATGATAGTATCATCAAAACGCAGGGCACTAATGATAGTATCATCAAAACACAGGGCCCTAATGATAGTATCATCAAAACGCAGGGCCCTAATGATAGTATAATCAAAACACAGGGCCCTAATGATAGTATCATCAAAACACAGGGCCCTAATTGTAGTATCATCAAAGGCACCATAATAGAGTCAGCAGATTTAGTCCTATGTCTGGTTCAGAAACTCTCCCATTCATGTCCTCATGTCTTTCCCATGTCCATCTGTATTTCATTCATATGACCATTTATTTTCCCCAGTCATCCTGATTCCCATCCAATCTTGAATTTTCCTTTATTACAATCTTTCTAACCGCAATGATCATCTATTTGAATGGGAAAAGCTTGTTTTAGCAAAGTGAAAGTGCACTTGTTGGTTGCAAAGTGTATAAACATTAAATGTGTATAGACACTGCAGCATGACCCTCTCTTCCCAATGTGGATGTCACTGCATGACATAAATAATATGCCATTTAGCAGACGCTTTTATCCAAAGCGACTTACAGTCATGCGTGCATAAATTATTTTTTTGTGTATGGGTGGTCCTGGGGATCGAACCCACTACCTTGGCGTTACAAGCGCCGTGCTCTACCAGCTGAGCTACAGAGGACATCTTACTCTGTGTTGATCATCTTTGTCTAAGACCACCACCTCTCAGCCTTTTCCCTGTGGCAAGATGCCTTATTTTTGGAGCAATCAAATATGAAAAGGCCCTTTCACGGGGCTAGTTTAGAGAATAGTTTGTTTAGAGAATAGTTTGTTTCAAGTGGTTTTATTATCTCTGGTTAGATATTTTGTTCAAACAACTGTTTGTATGTCTTAGCTCCTCAAAGGATGATTTTAAAGGTTATTTTCAGGCCTGTCTTCTGTTCTCTGTTTATCACCTCTTCTTCTTATGATCTCACCTAATTCTGCTGTTGTTGAAATGTTCCACAGGAGCCGATCAGCGATCAGAACTTTGATGCTTATGTGACCACTCTAACAGACATGTACACTAACCAGGAGCATTACCAGAGTCCAGAAAACAAAGCCCTGCTGGAAAACATCAAACAAGCGGTGCAAGGAATCCAAGTGTAGCCCAGCCCACGACCTAGCCCAGCAAATAACAGAGCTTCTTCTCAAAGAGGAGTGAAGGAAAACAACATTCACAGGAAAGAACTAGAAGTGACATGATAGGATGATGCCTCATGCTGCTGTAACGTATCAAACAGTGTTACATTTTGATTTTCGTTCTTTAAAAAAAAGAAGTGTTATGCTTAGAAAACGTCATTATGTTTTTCTTTTTTGTCTTGCTTTGAAGAAAAAAAATAGTAAATGACAAAATAGTTTTTGAAAACATTCACCTTTTGTACGTTTTCATACTGTATGAGCTGACATAGTGTGATGTAATGTTTCTAGCTGCTCATGTATGCACATTTTTTTGTGTATATTTCTGAACAGTAAGCTGTATAACATAAGACATGTGTTCCTTTCAATGCTTGATGATGAAGCATTTTAGATGAAAAAGCTGCACTGGACAGTGAAAAAAAAAAGTTACAAAAACAATGGGGGAACTGCACGGAGGTAGCTACTTTTCAATGATCTTTTGCTCAAAGGATGACTTTGGAATTCTAAAGATGTTTGTTTTTTCTTGTGTGCAGATTGTTGAATAGCAAGACTTGGTTGCAAATTACTTTATTTTTAACAATGCTTGAAAAATTATTTGTCTTCTTTTTTAAAGGTTGGTAGCTGTAGGTGGGGGCATTTTTAATAGGTGTTGGAAATTAGTATGGAAAGAAACTGACTTGATGTTTGTATGAATGTTACAGTTTTATTGTAAACATCATGACACGGAAACCCAATGGTGAAAATCCCATTATCTAGAAAGTACTATTCGCTCTTGACATTTTGTGTTTGTAGATACCCATTGGTGATGTATAATGGCAATAGAGTATGCAGGACTCATTCTAGCATTTAGTAGTTAGTTCTGTTTCAAATTTCGAAACTTCTGTTGCTAGAGTCGGGCAATGTCTCAGCAATATATATCTAAATCATATGCTTATAGATATGGAATGCAATCTACAGGAAAACATTTTTTGGGTATATGCAATGACTTGTTTTTAAAGATAGGGGTGGAGGAACTAATTAATCTTTTTACTATATGTAAAATAAAATATTTTATATAAATCTTTGAATACAAAAAAAGTATTTAAAAAAGTTGGACATTCAGTTTTAAAGAGGAAAGATGCTCTATGAGTTCCACTTTCTTTACATACGATTTTGCACATAAGGGACACCTTGGTTTCCATGTTTTGATGTTTTTACAGAAACTAAAGCAGTACCTGAGAGCCTAAACGGAGGTGACAACGGTTTTGTAAAGAGTATTTATACTAAAGTATGAGCGAGAGCGGGACTTACAGGGTCATTGTCCCCACTTGCCAGTAGACTATTTGCACTTGTCCTAGAGATAGTATCCTAACATGCGGCGGCGTGCAATTTCCAGGTGTTCCTTTGGCACACGATTGGAGCAAATAACTGCTAAGAGCCACTAGGTGATGAATTAGTACCACTGAAAGAGACTACAGGGATTTGAATCAGAAATTACGATTATAACCATACCAGTAATACTGTATTATCAAATGGTCAAACAATGATGCTATTTCATTTTGGTATGTTATATGAATTTTAAATCATCCCCAGCAGCACTTTATATCTAATCACTGTACAAATTAAATAGTTAATCAATTAAAGGTTACAAAAAAAGAGGAAGTAAAAAGAGGTTGTTTTCCCATTAGGCTTGGAGAGTGGGAAATGAACTCTTCTAGTTGACTCTTCTGCTCTGATTGGGGTGATGCAGTTTCATGTCTGTATGCAGCCCTTCTTTATGTTGTGGTATTAGTTGTTAGCGACCATGTTCAGAATTGGCCTTTTTGAGAGCTAATGCAAAGGTGCTTGTCGTTCACCTGATCTCATCTATTGTACTTTTACATCCTCTTTTAGGGCTCTATCGTCAATGACTGCATACAGTATGCCTTTCTCCACAACATTGTGTCTGCAGCTTTTTGCCAATATAGTAATGCTTTCAGTAGAGTAATACCTAGCATCAGTTTTTTAATTAATTCTCATTATCAGTACAATTGAAAGGGATTTAAAGCACAAACCGGTTGCTCATCTACAGTTGGTACAAAATATCAAATTTGAAAAAAGTTAACTGTGACTATTTACATAGGGAACACAAAAGGGGTCACATATTAGAATGCTGAATTTTCATATAAATTATTGTGAATTCATCAGAGTTTATTTATTTTAACTTAATCATTTTGAAGTTGATTTAAGTAATCATGAACAAAAATAGGATTTTGTACAAACTATTGTGCTCTCTGTGGAACTGAAGTTTAATTTATTTTTGTACTACACAGCATGGATTTGTTGACATTTTAATTTTGCTATAAGTGTGTGAGATCACAAGTTGCTGTGATATTTCATTTTTAAATTGTGAACTTTGTACAATTCTTGTCATGCTGGATGTTGACACATCTTACTCTGAATAAAGAAAAAAATGTGTTGCCACAGGCCTGTAAGTTTAATGGTCAGTCACATTCTTGTTCATGCTTGTTCAAAACCCACCATTCTTGGAACCCTAAAAATGTTGCATTCAGTGAAAGGCTGCATTCATTCCCATGGGTTTTTTCAATACACAAAATAGTTACTGAGTTTTACATTCCAGGACAATCCTGAGATGTTTTGCAATAAGAATCAAGCTTTCTTAGGATAACGCTTTCGGACCGCAATGCAATGGAGTGGGTGTTTTGTAACAAGCATATACTTCCCCAGTGTCATACCACATGAAAACCAGCGGATGGCAGCACAGAGCACCGTATAACATAATCCTATGGAAATGTTCTTACCTGTCAGTCACGGACTGAAGTTAGAGGGAATCCCCCAATTACCTATAATACAACACAAAATGTATCAAACATCAACCATCATATTCAGAACTACTATTATGAGCTGTAAATAAATGGAAAGTAACACAACCGTTTGGAGATAAGGCTGGGATTATCAGACAAATCCTGAACTATTATAACATCCTACCTAAACCATATCATAGTATGGCAATCTGTTTTCCATATTTGGCTGAGAATAGGCCCATCAACTCTCATTGTCTGTCCTACATTCCACCCAGCGAGAGACAAACTGGCAACATTTTACGGCATAATTTCAGGGTAACTATTGTAATAAAATATTTATAGGTGCATTACAAGTTCAGACAATTACATAATTATTGTGAATAGCAATTTCCTGGAAAGTCCAGAAACGTGAGTTAGTGTGGTATAACTGGTACCATGGGTTTATTGAAGAGTACATTGATAAACTTTTAAACAGATGATGTATAAAGTGTCATTTTATCAACCATACTTTCCATTAGGCCTAGATCAACTTTGACATAGTTTCTTGATTGGCTTGCTCCCCGATCCAATATAACTTGTATCACTGCCCTACTTCTCTCTCTCTCTGCTTGGAGGGAGGGAGCGGGTCTCAAGCAGCTGAATTCAGCTTTACAATAACTCTGCGGATGTAGTAGTTAGTCGGCGAGAGGGGTAGCTGGCGGTGTGTTCTCTGCGCTGCTGACTCCCTAGCAATGGCGCTGAGGACGAGCCAACTCTTCTCGCCTTTTCTAATCGCGGTAGTACTAATTTTGGTCGCCTTTGGCCCGCAGCCTGTCATTTCTTGTCCAAGCCGGTGTTTATGTTTTCGTACCACCGTGAGATGTATGCATTTAAACCTGGAAACCGTACCTGCTGTCGCTCCGTCAACAACCATCCTGTAAGTAACGTTACATTGTATCTGAAGGGAAAGTTTGTAGGCTATGGAAGGAACGGAATGAACGCACGGATTGCCTGAAGGAGTAACAGCAACCAACCCAACTGCTTTGCAATGTCAATACGATAGCTTATGTTTGTATATAAGCCGAATCATTACAATTGTGTTAACTTATCTATTCTTACCATATTCAAACCACAGTTGAGAAAGCAGGATCATAAGAGCTAACCTCTTCGGGACCAGACCACCATTCTGGTTGCCTATATTCAAAGTTGCAATGATGGAGTCTGCAATTTAGTTTTCTAGGCTTATCGTACATTTTTCATACAGAGACCAAAATTCCACCAATTTACCATGCCTGCTTTTTTATACAAACTTGTAGGTATATCTGAAAAAAAACATCTAGTCATGATTCTTCTGTCTGAAATGGGAATTATACATATATGCTTGTTCATTATCTGTCTTGCATTGGTTATTCAGTTGATTCACAAAATAAAAAAATAACTTGTTTCAAGATGGCCTGTTTCCACATTATGGAAACTAGGACAAAGGATTCAGACATCAGAGCATAGTCGGATGCGTATGGATGTTTCAGTGAAGTGGCTTTGTAAAATTCGAAGACACCTCTGACACCTGTAGAGCTAGGCCTACTGATTGCAGAAGTCGTTAGACAGCTATTGAAATCAGCCACAGAGCAGTTGTTGGATCATATGGGTATACCGGTATTACTATTGTATAGCCTAATAGAGTACTCTACTTGTGAGCTTTGTGAGAAACTGCACCATGGGCTGACCTTTCCTTCAAGCACTCAGGGCATGGTGGTGAATTGTTATGAATTAGCCTACATAAGCCTCTTTGACTGCAAGACCAATATGGCTTATTTTATTTAGGATCTATTCAGCATACTGCAGGCTAGTATTGTCATGGATGTGTCATTGGCTTCTTGGAGAACCAGAATCAGGGTTGGGTCGGTCAGAGGGTCAAACTGTGGTTTTGAGTGATCTCAGATGTAGGGAAGCACAGTTTGTGTCCAGGCAGAGCTCACACAGCTCTGAAGCTCCAAACAAATCTCTGGAATATGTGCCCCCTTGTTTTTAATTGACCCATGTGATTTTGGCATGTTTCCGAAACTCGTATGCATCTGTGCAAATAAAGACCTCCATTCAGGCAGGCAGCAGGACACAAAGGAGCGACTCAACCAGTGTTAACGATGGGCGCAGCGTGCACAGAATAAGCCCCCCCTAACATCTGTAGGCAAGCCTCCGGACCAG